TTAGCAGCTGCGACGTGGTCAACGCTGCTAGGCGCCCATGAAGGCGGTCTTGAGTTGAGGGGCTTGCATAGAAAGGTTCCCGTTGTCAGTATTTTCAGATTTCACCGCCGGTCGCCGGTGAAATTCTCTCCGGTGACTCAATCCCAGTTAGAAAGAAAGAGAGGAGGTGCACATGTCTAGTGCAGGATGGTGGAAGTTCAGTAGCTATTTCAGCAGGACTTGGCAACAGTGGGACTTAGGATGGGGCTACGGCTACGTGGCGTAGCATTATTCAAGTACTTTTTCACAGACTACGGTTCCACGCCTTCTAGTAAGGTCAATAAATTGCTGGACAAAATTGCCCTCAAATATGGTCATGTGTAATGCTAATTTCAGAACTTAAGAGTAATTAACGATGAAATGATCACGGGTTTACGGATTAAATTGTTTAGTGATCAATTATTGACAAAAAATAGTTCGATGGCCAAAACATGATCTCGCTAATAGTTTAATGGCCGCTGAGATTTTTTGCCCAAAATATTATGAGGTACGAAAGGATAGCTATTCAAAGCATCTCGGCCGAGTAAATTCCCAAAAAGTGTGACTTTTTAAACTAACTTCCCAAAGGGTGGTGTTTTTTTAGTATCTTCCCAAAGGATGAAAAACGCATCCAGGGAATGCGTTTTTATAAATAAAAATGCAATTGTCAAATGCGTTATTTTATTTTTCATCAATTTATTTTAATATGAACAAATTGGTCAAATAACGCATTATTAGAATGCGTTTTTTGATCTCACCATAAAACGCATTTCGGAAATGCGTTATTTTATAATAAAACGCATTAGATGAATGCGTTGTTTGTTTACAATATGTACCACTTTTTTTCATTTCTTCATTCTGGACTTCGATTATGTAAGGTTTTTGTTTTAAATATTATCTTATTATTTTATCGAAGTTATTATTAATTTAGCTCACTAATGGAAGTCAAGATCCAAAAAAATTGTTATTTCATAGTTGTTATTAATTTAGTTGGTAGAGATTTCATTTCAGGTTTGCAAAAGGCTTAAAGGTTTTGAACTTTGGATTTTACATATGTATACACTAATTTTGTATCTCAAATGTTGGTAGTAAAATTCAAAAAGTATTATAATAATATTATTACGAAAGGAAAACTAGTAGGTTTTGTATTTAATATAAATTAAATACGTGAAAGTAAAAAAAAGAAATTACCCACTTTTTACCAACTCTTTATGGGTTTCTTCGATTAGTTGAATAAAGTACTAGCTATGGGGGCAGGCATTTTACTCTGAATCATATAAATTATGTTAAATATATAAATGTTTGTAAGTAAAATTTAAAAAGTGTTATACTAATATTTTTATGAAAGGAAAACTAGTATGTTTTGTATTTAACATAAATTAAATATTTGAAAGTTAAAACAAAATTAAATTGCCCATGACATACCAGTTCTTTATGAAAAACTTGTAGGTTTTATATTTAACGTAAATTAATTGCGCGAAAGTAACACTCGTAGGTAATTTAATTAGTTTAATCAGTTACTTAATTTGTTGACAAGAAACAAGTTTCTTTTGCAAAATTTGGCCATTAGGTTTCTCCAAATAATTAGGGTATAAAGGTAAATTTTCACAATCTTTTCTATAGTAGTCTCTTATTTCTTTTCATTTTGACATGACCACACATTAATTTAGATTAATATCTATAGTGCCAACATTCATATTCGCCAATAACCAGTAAAGAATAAGAAAATATTTCAAGAACGACCTAACAATAACTGAAAGAGAGTAGACATACATGTATCAAAAGTGTTGAATGTAATATGCTGCTACGTTTTGTATCTAAACTCTTGCATGTATCTAAGTCTTGAGAATTTAAAAAAAGCACACAAGAACGCACACAACACATGCAGTGGGTGGCTCAGAAGGCAAGTTGTTGGACTGATTAACAAAATCCCCTGCTCCTCTTCTAACAAAATCATGGTTCAGACCAGTTAAATTGACATTAAGTACATTCTTACAAGTAAACTGAGAGAAAGTTAGATATCTTCAAATAAATTAACTGAATGCTAACTACACTGACATGTAAAAAAAAAAAAGAAAATTCGAAAACAAGGTGAAAAATATATCTCCTGCTTCAGTTTTGAAGTAATCTCCAGCAAAGTGTACAAGGTGTGGAGTCTAATTTAGCATCTTGACATAATCATCTCATATTATGGTCTGTTGGGGATATCTTTTCCCAAATCTTTTACTTTTTGTCTGCTGGGGTTTGCTGGATTGCTTAATTCCTTTGTATTCTATAATTCATTATTGTGCAAGAGATTATGGATCAATACATTTTTGAATCTAAGTGATGCATTACTGGGTGATGTAAAAAATTTATGAATTCAAGTAGTAATAGATCCGGATTTTAGAAGTTTAATTCATGATGCATTAGTTGATGGCACGTACTTTGTCTTTTTCTATAAATGTACGGGATGCATATTGCTCTATACTATTTTGATTGCTTCACCCTTCTTATTGGTTTCAAGAACAACAGGAAGCAAAAATTCCAACCTTGGAAGCTCAACATATAAAAGTATACTAGTAGAAGAAATGTCATAAACACACGGAAGCCATTTATATTTCAACCAAAAATAGTGTATGAAAAAAAAAGAAAAAGAAATTCAGCACTCACTTTGAAGAGAATGAATACTCTGGCAACAATTTATCCTTTGAATCTGCAAAAAAATAAACTTACTTTAAGTTTGAGGGAAAAAAAAAATTTCAGCACTTACTTGAGAGGGAAAAAGAAAGAAAGAAAGAAACCTGAGAGTAGATGATCTGTAGAATTTGAGAAAATTCCAGAATCTCTTTGTCTAATACTCTCGCCCTTTGTAGGGTATCTTCCTCTGTCAATAAACCCCAAAGAATCATCTCAGGTTTGCTTTTTGCTCTTTAAAATAATTAAATGCATCCATTACATAAACCCTAAATTTGGGATTTTAAGTATTACCTGATAATATGCCTAATTAGCTCAGCAGTCTCCCAATCACCACCCTTGCTCTTACGTTGGCTGCGAATGTGGGATAAGATGTAAGAAAAAATTGAATGGGTGGTGCGTTTTGTTTGGCGCCTGAAGAAGTTAGGGTAGAAAAAGAGAGGGATTGAGGGGAAATTAGTTTTTAGACCCCTTATGAAGTACCGGGGAGTAGAACAGGCTTCTTAGATATGCTAAACAACTCATTTAGCAAATGCGTTTTTTTATTAATAAACGTATTTCAGAAATGGGTTTTAAGGACCAAAAACGCATTCATCCTATGAGACTTTTTAAAATAAGGCATTCTAATAATGCGTTATTTAACCAATTTTTTTATATTAAAATAAATTGATGAAAATTGAAATAACGCATTTGACAATTGCGATTTTATTTATAAAAACGCATTTCCTGGATGCGTTTTTCATCCTTTGGGAAGATACTAAAAAATCACCACCCTTTGGGAAGTTAGTTTAAAAAGTCACACTTTTTGGGAATTTACTCCATCTCGGCCTGGCTAGAGATGGAATAGTAAGGGTGGGGTTATTAAAAGGGCTGTTGATTAACATATTGGTCATCCCTAAAATGCCCGCCAAAACCTGACGTTCTTCTTCCATCCCAACACCAGTTCTAAGCCTTTTCCGATAGCAAACCAGTAACTATTGGAATTGCCAATTCCAATCTATTTGTCTCTCTCAAATCTTTTTTTTTTTTTTTTTTTGAAAATTAGCTTCAAAATCACGCCAATCCAGCAAAACATGTGTTTATATTCAAGCCAAATTCTCTACAACAAGGAAATTGTCAAGCTCCACGTTTAATAAATGAGCACTCAGATTCAAAGGCAACGCCACAGCTGAGATTCAACCAAACATGGATTAAGCACAGATAAGAATAAAAAACAAGCAAGATTTGGTTATGGACAAAAAACCATATTCAAGTCCCCAGAGAAAATTTTATTAAAGTTTCCTCAATTAACAGATCCATTATATTCCATTATATTAAAATCGTGCAAAGTTTGCCGTCAATCAGGTTTTCTAAGCCGAGCTTTAAAAAGTTGAATTTTTATAAGTTTAAACTCGACTCATAAATTATATAGAGTTATTAGATTTCGTACTTTCAGATGTCGGATTCAAATCAAAATATTCAAACTTAGCTCACACTTTTGTATGAGTTCGGAGTTCAAATTGAACTAAACCCAAACTTATAATAAAACACATACTTATATAGAACATATATTCAATAATTATGAATTACTATAGTACATATTTAACAATTTTATATACACATACATACATGCATGCATATATACAGATACAAACGAGTCGAACCTTAATCGGACCTGAGGCTTGCAAGACCCAAACTCAAGTCACGGTTAATTTGGGTGTAATATTTGAATCTAAACTTTGTCCGACCTAATTAAAGATTAGATTTAACAGATCTTTTCAGATTGAACGAATCGAGTTCAAGTTGACCTAACCTCGTCAAGAGCACTATGTTTCAGTACCTAATAGGCCCAACCCAACTAGTAGGACGGAGTTGGAACCTCCCTTGTACTCAAAAGATGGAACATCCTGGGAGCATAGGCATTCTCTAAACAAAGCAGAATATTATCCGCATCTACAAGCAAGGAACTTCTCTAGGGGAAGAATGCTGTGACATGACTTCATAAACTAGAAGATGACATCCAATCTCCATCATCAATTGGAGTAATAAATCCTTTGTTTCATGGACAAAGGGGACGGATTATAGATCTCAATCGAAATTATGCAATTGCGCATATCATAAGTTATGTCATTATCCCTTTAATTTCTCTGAAAGAGTGTCTAACAAATCGACCCTTAGTTTCCTCATATCAGAATCTCTACTCTTAATATATAATTAGCATAACTCTTATGTTAATAACTTCTAAATAACAAAAAGTACTCTATATAGACTAATTCTTTAGTTTTCTTGCATTAAATACTATACAAATAGTAGGAAGCAAAAAGACAAACAAAGGAAATTCAATCGACAACTTTATTTATACCAGACGCTAACCACGTAAGTGCCTCTGCCGTCTAGATATCAGAGTATCAGACAAAGTCACCAAAAGTTTGTGATGCAAGTCTGACCAAGATGATTGATGAATGTCAAATTCCTCATTATCTGAGGCAAATAATGCAAATATACAGATACATCAGGCCTCATACTTTTTAGTAAATACCCTATTCCAAACTACAAGGCAGGTTAGGCAGCTGCAATTGCATTCACTTCCAGGATTGGTTAACTTCCAGGGGCCTGCAACAGTAAAGGAATTATAATGCAAAAGGAAAATTGAAAAGCCCGGAAAATGGATCCATAAAACATAAAGCTTTTTCCCCTGATCTGAGTCACCCATGGGAGCAACCCATGAACAAGATCAATCCCTACACCATGCAAATACTTGGCGCATGGAGAGACTGGAGCAGTTTGAGGCCTGCAACATAGGCAAACGTTCACTCACTCACACACAAAATGGGGAATCATTGACAGCAAAAAGCCAAAGCATTAGATAAGAGTCAACAGATGCTAAAAGGAAGCTATAAAAGCTAGCTTTTGTTTTGTATATTTAGTGTACCAACATTCCCCACCGAATCAGCTATCCTTTTATGCACAGATATTCCATTTCCAGAGGTCAAGTTTAGTGAGTCCCAAGCCCCCTTGCTCGTGGGCGAGAAATTATAATCCAAAGGTCAAGTTTATTCAGTCTCAGGCTACATTGCTCACTGGTTAACAGATGTCAGACCAAGTTTAGCTCCATAGTACTTTCTTTCCTCACCAGACCAAAAAAGTTGCTGATAAACTATCTAATTTCTTAAATACTTACTTTGGAAGTACAAACACAATAGTCCAATACACATGAATATTTAGAACACATTTAACGAGCTGAAGTCTGTCCACATGATCAGCATCTTGACAGACCAACTCTATTATCTTATTTTGCTATCATAACCTTCCAATCAGTACAAGACAGCCTGAAGAGGTTATTGAAAGTCCTAGATAAGTCACAAACAACTGTCCAAGATTCATACAAACACTATCACACAGCTGCATACTTCTCCCGAAAGCACTGCAAATTAGGACACAGATCAGACAATCCCCATATTCAAAAGCTTTATCAGAGGTAGCACATAGAACAAGGAAATAGTACGAACGTGCAGTATGTGACAATTTCATATCAGCATGCTTAGGATGGTAATCAAATTATTAATTATCAATATTCCATTGGAACAATTGAACTGATGATTTATAGTTATTCTACAGACATCTCAGAGGCTTATTTAGACATATCAGAGTTCCCAAAATCATTTAATGCACTTTATATTGCACTTTCTTTTTCTTCTTAGTCAACTATCAAATCTTCATTTTCTATTCAACGTGATGCTGGACAGAGGTCTGCCAATGCAGCATTGGACCCTATGCAATCTTGAGAGGAAGTAAATCCATGATATTGCTAATTTACATTGCAAGGTTTCAATGTTTGCTCACTTATACTACTGTAATTACTCAAATAAGTTGTGCATAAGATATTTAATAAGAAAGGTGAAACACTTGATGAATGATGACTTCTGTTGAAGGTGAAACACTTGCAAGGTGTAACCGTTTGCTCACTCATTGTTTTTTGTCTCTATTTATTCTCCCTCCCTTGTTGTCAAATGTCATTGCAGGCAGACTTTTACAATTGTATAAGAAATTTTTGTTAGAAAATTAGCTTAATTTCTTTTAGGTAGGTTTCTTGTTTTGTGTGGAAGTAACTAGCTTCATAATTGATTTTAGTTGAAATAGTAGCCAAAGAATTTCCCATTTTGTTTAGAATTAGAAGTTATTTTCTATTCTGTATAAGTTTAAAAATTAGAATTGCCTTCCTGTTGTTATTTGAGTTTTCGACTCAATAATATTCCCTATAAATAGGTGGGTTGGAATACTACAAGGGACACACAAAAGGGCACACAAGAGGCAACCTGTAGCCTTATACATGGATGGTGAAAAAGGGTCACTGAGAGATGAGAGATGGTATACAAGAGTTGAGCTTGAATTCAAATTGTATTCTCCTTTCATAATAAAGAACGAATTTCTCTCCGTGGACGTAGGCTCAATGGTGGAGTTGAACCACGTTAAATATTGTGTATCATTTATCTTTCATGCTTGTGACTTGTTCCTCATTAAATTGTTGTATACTTGATATGTCAATAGTTATTTATTCAGCTTTTGGATCCTAACAAGAAAATTTGTTAGATTCATGAGTAAAGGGTTATGTCCTACATTGGTCCGAGAAATGGAGAAAGAACGATTAATGTATAAATAAGGGTCTGAGACCTAATGACTTAAGCTTTTGGGTGAGAGTTGGATTTCTGACTTACATATTGGACTTTTTGGTGGACTTTCTCGAGATGTTTCTCCCTATCAATTTTCTTTCTGGCTGAACCTGGATTTTGACATGTCAGATGGTTGGCCTATTATGTATGTCATGTCTATCAACAAACCTAATCCAATCCTACATCTTGTGACAGGAGAGGCTCAATAGTCTTATAAACAATTGCAAATTCACAATTCTCTTTTTCTACTTGTTCTTCACGCTTAGGTAGTGGAACTGTTACAACTGTAATAAAGTCGGCTCTTTTCCCATCTCTGTATTAAGTACACAGTGATAATAATAGCTTTTCAAGAGAGACATTATTATTTAATGCCAGAGTTTACTTACCAGGTACTCCAACTGATTTAATGCATAGAATTGATAAAGATGCCTGCATATGGCTCTATAAGATTATTGGTCCTCTAGTAATTTCCTTTTTAATTTTCACAAAGTTGTGGCACTCAATAAAAATAAAATAAACAGCATTGTAATGTAGTGAAGAAAAAACTGCATATGTTTTAGACACTCGAGCAAATAATTACAGCCAAAATCTCTTTGATCTAAGTAGCCAAAGAAATTCACAGGCTAGGCAGCACTCTGAAGAATATAGCTCAGGTTTCTGAGGCCTGATTCATGATAATTGTTGAAGATGACTGACTAGCTTCATTGGGAATTTGGCCATTGACCCCTTTATGCGACCAAACAAAGATGCAATTGCTGTTACTTCAATTAAGACTTTTAGTTCAGTTTCCTAATTAATCTAATCAAGAGGAGAGAAGGTCAATCAGTTGGCTATCATGAGAGGAATGGAAACTGAAAAAGGTCTAGAATATGCTGTAAATTATACTCAATAGTATAGTTTGGGGCAAGTGAGTGTAAGAAAAGGATGGAAATGCCCATCATAAGCTGGAAGGCACCATTGGAGAGCTTATCTCATGATATTGCATCTATAAAATGTAAAGACATGGACGTGCAGCATTATGTTGATTTATGGACGAGAAAAACTATCCTTAAATACAAAAGACAATAATCCAATTTTCCCACAACAAGAAAAATATTTCAATCGCAAATATGAGCACCAAATGATTCATTGGTTCTTTGTTTCACTCTACTTCATCCTGTTTTTACTTTCAACCTGCACTCAAGATTGCTTGGATCAAAGAGGCATGCTGAAACCTCATGAATATCCTTTTTTCACATTTCAAATTTAAAGCAGGAGTTATCCAAGCAGCACTTAACTCCTAGCAGCACTTTCTCTTTCTCCTACTCCTGGGACCATGCAGGTTAGATTAACTTTGTCTTGCCAAAATAAGAGTAAAAGTAATTTCATATATGTTTTTCCTCAGATAATGTCTTTCCACTATTCATCAGTTTTGAGGGTAGGCTACTTAAAAATTGAAACAAGTACCTTGCTCTGACAGGTGGAGTTAGGAGGAGAAATTTTAATTGAGACTAAAAACATGAGATTTCAGCACTAACAAGAAAATTTCAGTTATTTCTTCTGGCAATAATAATCTCAAAATATTAACAACAAAAAATCTTACAAGGATTGTAGGGAAAATAAAAAGAGATACACATATTACCAACTGACACTAGAACACTCAATCATGGTCCGAAACAGCATAAGCAATTGATTCTCAGAATTTGAGTGATATAACTTGCTTTAAAAAGGGGAACTGAAGGAATATAGGAGAAATCAGGAGCAATTAACAATGAATAGTAAATGAAACAGTAGCAGCAAAACTCACTCAAGTATTTGCTGATTTCTCATGCAGCGCCTTGTTCCATATGATATCTGGATCATATAAACCTTCATATTTCTTGTTCTTGTTGCATTTTATTTTCTCCAAGTACACCGCCACAGGAAAAATACGACGTAATTCTGACAGATCAACTTCCAAATGCTTCAGATACTTCAAACATAAAATTTTAACTTTCCAGGTTTGTGCACCTTGGTTCGTTTGTTCACCTTGGTTCGTATGATGACCTTGGTTCGTTTGTTCACCTTGGTTCGTTTGTTCACCTTGGTTCGTATGTTGACCCTGGTTCGTTTGTTCACCTTGGTTCGTTTGTTCACCTTGGTTCTTTAAGCTTTTGAGTTCACCTCCCCTGATGTATAATTTTTCCAAATTTTGTAATGCACCAGGCTCTAGCCAATCAGGCATATGTGGCAAAGGGATGCACCAGAGGTCCAATTTCTTAAGTTTCCGTGGGACTGAGATGGTCTTTAGAACATCTTTTGTAGCTTCTGTAACTGCTCCACATGATATTACCAGAATTTCCAGGGCTTCAAAGTTCTCCAAGTTTGAAAACTCCCCTTCTCCTACAGCTTCATTCCCAATTCGTATACTCAATTTCCTTAACCTTTTTAACTGAGCAAGTTGACTTAGCTTGCACGGATTTCTTCCAACACTTCCTATCACAAAACCCTTTAGTACTTGGAGAGCAGAGAGCTTATGAATACCGTCTGGCATCCTTTCGAGCAGGTAGCACTCTGACACGTCCAAGTGAGTAAGATTTCTCAGTGCTGATATATCAGAAGGCAGTTTCTCTAGACTGTGACATGCACGTAAATCAAGAATCTCAAGGCTTATTAGTTTAAGCACAGAACGAGGTAGGTTAGTCAATCTAGAAATGCCTCTGAGGCTTAGATATCTTAGGGATGTCTGACTTCCCAAATCATTCAAACAGTCTTCATATTCCACTTCAATATGATGTTCGACAGAGTTTTGCCACCGGCCCAACTGAAGAACCTCAACCCTATTCAACCTCGAGAGCCAGTCAAGTTCAAATCTAAGATATTGACAATTCACATTGAAAACCGTAAGAATACCATCAGGCATCTCACTGGCTGAAGCATCAAGACCCGCAAATAAGAATGCATGACGATGATCATTGCTAGGCATCCCTGTGGGATTAAATTCAAAAAAGTGAAGTCCTTTTGCAACCGAGATCAGCATTCTTCGAATCCAAGGGTGCACGATAAAACTGTTTATATTGGGAGAATGATTCTCAACTATGGGGATTATGAAGCTTTCATTTATCAATTGTCCAAAGACATCTTCTCCAACCTTCTCTGCAGTCTTTTCTGAGGTTTTAGTGACCATACCTTCTCCTATCCACCAGTAAATAAGGGGTCTCTTCTTTATGATGCTATTCTCTGGGAAAATTGAAAGGCACAAGGAGCATACTTTCAGTTGATTGCTCTCCAGACAGTCAAAACTTTTCCGAAAATCTGATATTGCTTTGCTAACATAAATTTTTTCCTCCACACCAAGCCTCGACCACTCTTTAGGCATTGTCTGATCCTTCCCTACAGCCTGATCTTCAGAACGTGTTATTTCTGTCACCTGACTTTCTTTTGCCGGAAAGAGCTGTTTTACAGATGCAACACTGTTTCTGATGAGCTCCAGACCATTAAGAATATCATCAGCGTTGCCATGCTTCAATCTATCAAACCAAACATCAATATCGATGTATTGCACCAAAGTTCTGAACCGTTTTATGAGTTCCCCTTCCCAATCTTTCATCTTTTCAAGTTCAGTCTCAATTTCTTCAAATCCCGAAACTATTTTCTCATCTTTCTCATTGATGGGTCCTAATGCATCCCTAACTTGTTTCAGACGATCCAGTAGTGTTGGGACAATTTCCTCAGGTTTTCTTTGAGCTGGCATTCTTAACTACAGAAACAATACTTCCTATTAGCTAAGAAAACATTAGCAATCAAATCTTCAAAGATAAAACTTTTATATACTGTTGATTAATGGAATCCCAAATTGCAAATCAAGATTTACTTCAAGGTTAAAGAACAATTGCGCACAAAACTTTATCATTTCAAAAAAAGTCAGCTTTTTTACCCCCTATACTTATCGTCACAATTAATAAATGTCTGAGCAATCAATGAATCAAGAAGAAATTTAAACTGGTTGGGAGAATATTAAAGTACCTGGGAGCCTGCAGTTTGTGAACTTTTTAGAGGGCTTCTTCTTCCTCCTCCTCAGTTGGGGATCTTCAAATGTGATGTCAATAGGCAGACTAGATGGGGAGTAAAGAATATGTACATTTACCGTACAGACTACGCCATTACTTTGGTTGGATTGGATCTGGACAAAGACATGGAATATTCTCTATTTTCTAAGGACAAAACCAGTTCCTGTAGTTTTGGACTTCTTACACTGTTTCGTAAAATCTGATTATGAAGGGTGATTATAGAGATTAATCAAAACCAGTAAAAAGTACTTTTTGTAAATTATAAAATTTATCTTTTTGTTTACTTAAAAATTTATAATCTAAATACAAAACTAAAGAACATAAGAAAAGAAAAAAATGATCAGAATGTATAATCAGTCAAAATAATTAACAGAAAATAAGCCTAAAATATCTTCTAATTTTTAGTAATTTGTCCCTTGCGTAATTACAAGTTATTTGAAATCTTAACATGAGTACCGGTGCAACATAATCCACATATGACCCTTTATGTTACAGGGAGCTATTACAAGTAACTTTAAGGTATTACTTCATAACAACGCTATTATTATTTACCCTCATAATTATATATGTTGAGGTTAATGCTACCACAGCGATAGAGTACACCTCAAAACAACTAATTTTGACTTTTTTCCAATTCATTATTGTTGAAACATAAACAAAAATTGTAATTAATTAATTTTACAAATAGATTGTAAGCTCAAAAATTTTATTAGTATTTACCTTTAGGTACACAAAGATTGAGATCAATACTACTACAAATTTAGAGTACACCACACAACAATTGCCGATTTGAAATTTTTGAATTCATTATTAGTCAAACTTAAACAAAAATTATAATTAATCAACTTTACAAATTGGCTGTAAGCTCGACAAGATATCTAATTGATATAAATTTTATACATAAAAAAGATTTTAAGATTTAACTCGAACTTCAATTGATGACACTAGTTAAATGAACTTTTTTTCTTTTTTCTTTTTAAAGTTTGCTATGGTTCAAAACCACATCTTATACAACATTTGATTCATATTCTCTTGCACGAAATACTACCAATATCTTACAGAAAATTAATTTCTGTTAGGTTCTTTTGCACTGGATCAAGGAGCTCCACAATTGTCAATGGCAATTATATTTACAAATATTAGTATAACTAATATAAATATTAGAATACTAACTTGTTTTGATGCCTGTATGTTGCAATTACAAATTGACAATTGTACATGCCCTTAATCTTTTGATACCCCAACCACTACAAGATAACCGTGAGAAAAATGTTTTTCTCCTTTTGGTATGGGTTAATAAACTGACAAAGTTAATGACAAAAATAAATTCCCAAGAAATTTTTTGTGGGGTTCCACCGATCAGAAGAGGAAATTCCATCTAGATGGGTGGGACACTGTGACTAAAGCTAAAGACCAAGGAAGGTTCGGTATAAGAAATGCTGATGACACGAATAAAGCAGCCGTGGCTGGTTCATGCTTGAGAGTCAAAAGAACCAATCTCAACTTTGAGTAAAAAATCTGAAAATCAAAAACTTCAGTAAAGCTGGTTCTATCCAGGGGAGGGAGATGGTTGGGTCTATTAATAAAAAAAAGTCTAAAATTGGGGGTGGATTCTCTTAACAAAGATACAGGCTGGATTACAAGGAATGTTAATGTGGAGGACAATTTGTCTAGATAACTAGACTAGACTAGTCTAGTAGACCCCTGAGACACAAAATCCAAGGGCCACTTAGATCTCTAGAGAAGAAGATTTACTAGACAATCATCCTTTTGGCGAGACGGGTTCCTGGAATTTAGAGAGGTTATCTTTTGTCTTTTGCTTCCCCGATTGTTCAAAAGATTCAAGTAATTCCCGAACATCATCAATTTAATTCTCAGGATTTTTATAGGTGGAAGGGTCATTATGATGTGCTTCTCCATGATGCAATTACCCCTTGGGGGTAGGTCAGATGAGGCAGCTGCCAGCGGGAAACTCAAAACTCTCATTGGGTATAGATCGAGAGATAAAATTCCCCGACTTGTATTATTATTCAGACTTTTTTGCAAATTTCACCAACAAGTACATAGTCATTCGTCTGATTCGGTGACGATTCAGTCTCCTCTACATTTTGCATTGACTCCTTTGAGTCCACCTCTTACCCTTGGTATCGAGTAAGAATAAGTGTAGAATAAAAATTATCATGTTGATAAAAAAAAAAATGATGCAATTACCCCATATTATATTTGACAATCATCCATGTGTTAATCCCTCTTAGATGTGGAAGCTGCAAGCAAAATAGAAGAGTTAGGAATTTCCTATGGCTTGCTTCTCAAAGTAGACTTGCTTCTAAACAAACTCTTCATAGAAGAAATATCAGTCAAGAGAGCACATGTCACGGCTGCCCAGGGACAACATATTTTATGTTTCTACCCCTTTGTCACGTGTATCTGGCAATAGTTGGCCAGTCCCAATTGTCCTTCTTTTGAATAGGATTTATTTTGATAAGGGTTTATTGTGCGATTATTTTTGAGATGTTTCATGTTGCTTTTGAGTCAAATTGTGAAATGCTATGGTCTAAAGTGCTTATTTTGCCTTGAATTTACGCATTGAGTTGATAGTAGAAGTGTTTGTGATTGTGCCATTTTATTTGCAAATTCTTTACGTATTTGTAGGGTTGAATGATCAAGCCTCAATTTGGAGCTAAATGAGAGAATATTAAAGAGTGGAAAGAAGCTTGAAGCACGTTTGAAGTCACAAATGTTATTGGAGGAAGATGCCCGACACATGGAAAAATTGCACTTGAATAACCAACTTGAAGATGAATGGAATGGCATTGAGCTGCCTCTTGATTAGAGTTACAGGTCTGGTTTCGAGGAGTGCGTATGAATCTCTTTCTTGGTATTGACTCAGAGTATTGCTTGAAAATTTTGTTTGGTCGAGAACTAGGTAAAACTCAGTGGTCACCAAACGGGGACTAAGTCCCTCTTTGGACAATAGATCGAGGGTTCAAATTCCATCTGCAGTAAAAAAAAATTCAAAAAAAGGTGTCAGAACACCTCTTTGGTCAAGTCAAATTTTTATACCGCTCGTAAGTAATTGTAGATGTCATCGCCGTGGGATTATTTTTAGCACAAATTTTGTGATGCAGATTGCAGAAGGCAAAAGGACTTAAAGTAGGCACTTCTTGGTAAACTAATCTACATGTCTTCAACATCACTAGCAAAGCTTTACTGAACAATGTAAATAGCAAAAATTGCTGATGCCTTGACTTACCCTATTAAATAGCAAATGGTGGTGTAGTAAATTTGAAATTGACAGGTCATACTTGTATCATTGTCTGGCAAGAGCCATACTTCTGGCTAATTAATTATTGGTCGTACTGAGATTAAAACTGTGAAACTTTATTAATCAGGTTTGATCTGTTCTAGATTTTGCTTGTAACGGGTTGATTTGTGTTGTAGTAGACAGAGATATTTTTTGGTGGAATCCATCAGTTTGAAAGTCCAAAAAATTACCTAATTGGAACATCCTGACACAAATCTTGTATTGGGTTTGGGTAATGATGAACCCAAGGATGATCATTAAGTGCTCCAAATTCGTCATTATGCTAACATCATGAAGGGGCAAACTAGGCTTGATGTTTACAGTAGAAACACGAGTTCTTGGAAGACTATTGAGGATTCTTGGAGCAGCCGTCCTGTTGGGGAGATTTATTATGTTAATTGGAAACTCCATAGCAAAAAATGGGAAATATTTCTTATAATGGGAAAGATTGCTAGCCTTGACTTGATGAATGAAATCTATGGGGAGGTGGAACAGCCAAAAAAATGGCGAGGTGTTATGAAACAATTAAAAGTGTGGATATCCATTTGTATTCTCAAGAAGATTAACTCATAATTCATTAATCCCAAGGGGATTAATTTATAATTCATTACTACATTACGTAAAAGAATTACAATGGATCAATCCATAAACCCATTCAGATATTGGAAGAACCGTTTCATAGACTATTCATGTTCTTGTAGTAATGAGTGTGTAATAGAATTGATATATCTTTAATTTTGTAGTACCTATATATAGAGGTACCTTGGCATCTCTTGGGATTACTTTTTGTATTAGTTGGAATAATAAGAAAATCATTCTCCATTGCTCTACTCATTTCCCTAATATTTCAATTCCTATTATAGTATTTCATTTTATTAGTTTTATAACATATTATTAGCACTAGTCTCTACTTTTGAGCAAAAGGTGAAACACGAGATTCTGTCGAAATTTTGCCTGTGTTTTTCTGGCAACTTCTGTCTACTTATAAAGGTAAATTTCTAACTAACAAACTTATTTTAATCTCTTATGGCCAACATTACAAAACAAGAGTTCGTACCTCTTGATATTTTTGGAAAAAATTATTTATCATGGGTATTGGATGTTGAAATTCATCTTGAGACAATGGGTCTTAGTAATACTATTATTGAAAAAAATGAATCTTCAAACCAAGGCCATGCTAAAGTTATGATTTTCTTTCGTCATCATTTAGATGAAAGATTAAAGATAGAGTATCTTACTGTCAAAAATCCTCTTATCCTTTGAAGAGATTTGAAAGAAAGGTTCGACTACCTGAAATTGATCGTTCTTCCAAAAGCTCGATATGATTGGCTTTACTTACAACTACAAGATTTTAAATCTGTCAACGAATTAATTCAGTCATGTTCAAAATTACTTCTCAATTATCATTATGTGGTGAAAAAGTTACTGATGAAGATATGTTAGAGAAAAATATTTTATATTTTTTATATCTTTAACATGTTCCTTCAACAGCAATATTGAGAGAAGGGATTTAAAAAATATTCTGAACGTATTGCATGTCTTCTCTTGACTGAACAAAATAATGAATTATTGCTAAAAAATCATTAGTCCCGATCAACTGGTGCAAGTCCATTTCCTGAAGTGAATGTGACTCAATTTCAAAATTTGGTCGAGATCGTGGCCGTAGAGGTGACCGTGGACGTGAACGTAGTAGATTTGTGCCCCGTGAAAATTATAATCGTGGCAAATAACAAAGTATTCCCCAAAAGAGGGATAATAACTACGATCAGAAAAATATAGAAAGAAAGTTTATGAAGAAAAATGCTA